TCGCGGGTGCTTGGCTCGAGTGTAACAGGGTCATTAAGCTGAAGTAGCAATTCATTAATTATGCACACAAGCAAACCCACGCCTACTTATGCAATACATATGCACGATGATATCCCTTTGGCTGCATAGAGAATTCATGAGCTTATGTGGCTCACAGCAAGCCACATCCTCATCCGCCTCTCGTTGCTTGCAATTTCTATGTATGCATGCATGTGTGTGTGTGTATGTGTGTGCAATGCAACACTAAACTGCATTTGTGCTTCAGTTATATGCATCACCGTTAACCACTGCCTAGTGTATTATTGTTGTGGCTGGCTTGTTTCGCTTTAGTCAGCGCTCGCCCGGCTCTTGGTGGCCTAATTAAAAACGTCAACCTTGCAAAAACACACTCCATTCATTGCGGCAGCGAAACAATTGTCAATTATCCGCTTTTATGCCACATTGTGGTGGCGCGTTGGTATCCTGTTGCAAGGCAGCTGCCTGCTCCAGTGTTCGCCATGAATTTTAAATAATGGTTACCCGCCACGAGGACTGCATTTGCTGAGCGTGTTAGAGCTATATTTCTTCATTGCAACTTTTTTCAGATCATCGTCTGCTTCATTTAATTCTGTGTTGGTTAATTAACTCAGATGTAACGGAATTTAACAGAAAATGATTAGAAATAGATACCGAGTATATTTACACGTGAGTCTGAGGACTTCAATATTTTCTTCAATGAAATGACGTAGGGTAGCATCAGATCACTGCCACACCCACCTTCAATAAATTAATAGTGGATATAAATGCAACAGAAACTGTTGATAGCGATTGGCGAACCGTCGCTATAACTCGCTACGTCCGCGAGACTTGGGTCGTTTCCATGGTCGTTTGACCATTACCTTCGCCGTATGCCTTATCCACCGCAACTGCAACTTGGGTGCCATCAGCTCTAGCATCCGTCGGGAATACTTTGAGCACTACCCTTTCTCACTTAGTTTTGCAGAGAGGATCGATGGAGTCCGCATTAAGCTCTCCAGCCTCACTACTCTCCAGTACTCCGTGAGTAGTGAGAGATTGCAGTAACTGAGGACTTCCTCAATCCTATTCGTAGTAGAAGGTTCGGCTCACCCCCAGTCGCGAACCATAAGCCGAAGTGAAAGAATCATTTTGTCCACGGCCTCCAGTCCGATCCTCTGGTTACCATTTGCACGTTAAGGTTTTTCCATGGCTTTGCTTCATGCAAGTTGCAAGAATATAAAATGTACGGTTGCACCTGAATTTAGACCTTCCTTACTCGTTTATTTTATACTAAAATATATATATTTATTAATCCAACTATTAGAAAATTTGGTCATCCATATCATTTCTCCCTGTTTTTCCTGATATTATTCTCTTCAAATAAAAAATGCGCCACTCTACAAATTATTATGCTAATTTTTCACTTCCCTTCCAAGAAACTTGTCCATCATTACTCAACAGATAAATATTTTGCTCTGGCTTAAATTTCATGTCGCCCTCGTGGCCTCGTGTTTAATGAATGGCCGTTACCGCTGCCACTGCTGCTCCTTTGGCTGTTCACGTTGCACCTTGCTTAAAGTGCAATTCATTTAATATCTTTGTTGCTGCATTTTGTTTAGTTGCCATTTTGTTGCGCTTATCGTCGTCGCCGTAGTATTTATTGGTGTTTGCCTTAAGTTTCCTGCTTTTAGATTGTGGTTCCCTCAAGAATTGCGTCCAAACTGCTGTGCACCGTACCGCACCGCTCCAACCGCCCACAACGATTTTCTGCTGCTTCCATGGGCACTGCCGCCAACACTGCTCAAGCGGAACTTTTCTAGTCGCAAAATTCAAATTTGCTCAGCTCGAGTCTTTGTTTTAGTTGCAAGTAGTTTTGCAGTAGCAGCCAATTCCTTGTTGCATGTAAAATAGTCTGGATGTCGTTCGCTCCCTCGGGTTCCCTGCCACACACCACTTTTTGTTGCTTACAAATTTCATAATCCAAGTGGTCTCCTTCTTATTACTCGACCCAATGCTCACCCTCCCTCTCTCTGAAATCCTCGTTCTATTTTATTCTGTGTTGTTGTGGCGTAATAAAGCGCCATTTTATTGCCGCACTTGCAGCTACTAGAAATCGTCATTCTTCTTGTCTTTAGCTATAGAAATTTTCAAGTTTTGAATTCTTTTCGCAAAGCTTAGCATTTCGACTAGGATGTATATAGTTTAAATGTGTTCGGTGTTACTTAAAATAATTGACAATTTTTTTACACATCTGCCTGAAAGTAATGAGTACGGTATATCGGATCTATATAAGTATATCTGAAAATATATATTTTGTCAGAGCCGTACCAATTGAATAATGTACCAACTTTCGGGACTTAAACTCTTCAATGTAGTTTTATACAGACTTAATGGTGTACAGACTTCGTCGAACTATAAATACAATGGATACCCAGCAAGTCACAGTAACCGAAAATCCAACATAATTAATATTTAGCGCGGAAACTAACATATACCATACAAATGCAACTCATTACGTCTTTGTGTAAGAAAGAATAAACGATTTCACTTAGATGAGGATTTCGGTTAGAATTTTCTATTGGGTCTTAAGTAACTCATGGAAACTTTAACTAATATATCTGGTAATGCTGTTGAGTAAATAACCGGTAAGCTAACCGATAGGTCACAAGGTAAAACATATTGACCAATCATAGGAGCTACAAGTTCAGTTGCTTTTATTAAAGCCTTTTTGATTGCTTTGTAGGTCGACTCTATGGAGCGTAAATACCAATTGTATTATTTTGGAACCCTTCGTAATCTCTTAAATAAATATCTGCAGCACATAGTTTAAACTTAAACACTTAGTATAAACTTATTTTACCTGAGATATTTTCGCAGTCGTTTCAGAGCGGCACTTTATACAAGACTGTAGTACTTTCAGCCAGAATAAAATAAATTTCTGGCTAACAGTTCCCTTTCCAATAATTTAGTGGAGTAATTCTCCCACATTTATTCATGTGGAATGTTTTATAATAATAAAACCGTCTTTAACTACACGTCAATTCATCATAATTCCAGTTTAGTAGGTGTTACAACCATTGTCACGAGTAAACAAGAAACATTAAATAAAAGCAACCACAAGAAAAGGGAAACAAATTTTAAGTGAAAAATGAAAGAGCTCGCGAAGAATAGCATACCGAAAAAAGTAACAAAAATTTCGCAAACGCCGACCATACAACAACACTGCAATGCACTCATACATCCATAGTATATATGTACAGTAAACAGACCATTGTTGCTGGCCCAAATAGGAAGCATAATAACCATTCGCATGCCACACGTAGCGCCATCAGAACGCGCCCCAACCACATGACCTGGCTTTAGGCCGCAGACGAATTGCCAAGAAAAAAGGCAGCAACAAATGATAGCCCACAGCAACATGCGGTCAAAGACAGCAACACTCCGCAGCCGCGACGCGTTCGTGATGCTGCGCCTCCAGTTGACGAGCAATTGCCGTTTTGTGGGCGTTGGCGCGCGCCCCCACCGCCGAAGGAACGAAGGTGCCGACCAAGAAAAACCAAGCAGTGGCTGCGAACCACTGGTAAAGGCAAGTTCGTTATGAAATACAGCAACCGCTTGCCGCGCTCCTACTCTCAAATTTTTTTAAATTATATTTTTGAAATTTCGCTCTTTTTGCCGGTCCACAATGGCAATAGCGGTGGCGCAGTTTTCAGCCATTTGTAAGGCATTATGCGCTTGCCTGCGCAGTTACGCACTTTGTAGCCATTACACTTTTACAGTTTCCGTTCGCGCCTCGGTGTATTTGGCTGCCAGCAGCTTTGGCGCTTTGTTGCTTTGTCTGGCTCTATTTGGTTTGCCAATTGCAATTGCCGTCTACGCCTACGACTCCTCGAGACCTTCTAAGCTAGGGCAATAGGCAGTGTTTGTGCTCTTGTTGTACAAATATATATATACTCGGTTGGCGCTTGATTTTGACACGTCGCGGAACCGCAAGTGTTGTTTGTGAAACAGCGCATAGTGGTGCGAAGCCAATAAAAAAGTGGTTGAAATTCGACCATAAGGAAGTTTGGGAAATGCGTAGACCCCTGATGGCGAGTTATTGTTTGTCTTTAAAGAGAAAGGGTTAAATACGAAATAATTTCGTCTTACTGAAGAAGATAGTAATGCAAATATAACGGTAATAGCAAAAGTACCGTTTTACTTACAAAAAAATGTACATGTTCGTTTAGAAGGTAATCTGTCTTTCCTACGACAGTGCGTTTTACAAAGCCGAAACGACGTATGTACAAGGATTGTTAAGGGTTACTCGAAAATAAATCCTTCTTCCAAGTCTTTAAGAATTGTATTTCAACGACCTGTGTAAAATTTCATTAAGATCGGTTGAGTAGTTATCGAGAACCGATTCGCCCAACCGACTTGAAAAACTCGGTTTCGAGAAAAACACGTTTTAAGACGGCGAACTTAGCCGGGCTAGCCTCGAGCACACAAGTTATCAATGCTGTATCTACGAAACTATTACTCGGATCAACTTAAAAGCTTAGGACAATATTTTAGAGATGTTATAGAATTTAAGACAGACAAAAATCGATTTTTTGAATCCCGGCAATCCATTTAACCACTTAACTCCGAAGCATTCCTCCAAACTACCTCAGTTGTATTTTCTGCCACCATAAGAACAACATTAATGAATATGGTATCAGGATGAAAAGAGATTCGAAATCCACCCGGAAAAATATTGAAATCTTAAGTATGACCAAATGTTGGTTAAAAAATCGAGAAATCTTCAATGTAGTTGTATTTTGAAATAGAGTTGCCACCTATTAAAAGGAAAAAACTTTTAAAAATTGAAATAATAAATATACAAATATAAAATATTCGTTTTCAATAAAAAAAAATATTACTTTGAATTATAATTCTTAATAACACACTTTCAAAAACTTCTTAAAGCAAATCTCAGAATTTTCAAGCACAATTTTTCACTATTATTTCCATTCTGCGCATACCCCACGTGACGTGTTGATTACAGTTGCCCTTTATGCCACAATCGCTGTAGCCCATTACCGGTTCGGCCGCCAACACGAGCGCGCTGTTATGGCCATTGTTCGCATTATTGTTTCTTGTATTTTTGTAGCAACAATATTCGAGCTTTGATCGTCTGCAATTCACTTTGCCGCTTGACGCCTGTTGCTTACAGCCATTCACCACCGCTTGTTGCAAGGTCTGCCCGCTGCCACACAATGCCATGCTTAATTGTTTTGTTGGTAGAAGTTTTCAATTATGTTTAAATGTTCGTTAACCATTGGAGTTCGTTATTGCACGCACACACACACATATAAATTTTACAATTATTTGTGCTTGTTGTTTTTAAGTGTGGCACATACCATTGCTGCGCTGATATTTTTGTGCTTCTTTCCACATTTTTCAAATTTATGTTTATTCTTCTCGTACTGTCAAGATGTTTATGGCTGACTGATTGTTATTGTTGTTGTTGCTGGTGCTTAAGTGCATTTAATTTCATTGCCCTTTTAATTTTTATTTCTGTAACAACAAACTCAAATGAATTTTCCACACACACATATACACATAGCGACCAAGCGTTTCGCCTGTTGCTACGACGTATTGTGGTTGTTGTTGTTGTTGTTGTTGTCAGCATAGTTGTTGTGCTACTTCCTTAGCACTTATTTAGCGGGCACAAGCTGCTTGCTTGCTGGCTGGCTGGTCGGCCGTGGCGCCCAAACACCACTACATGCAACATTGCCTGCAACGCCAATGCCAATGTTATTTATTGTCGCTACCGTGGCTGCTGCTGCTACGGCGCACAATTATCGTCGCTGTTCTCGTTCTTGTTCTTGTTACTATTCTATTTTTATTTTTAATTTTTATTGCCACTCCAGTTTTTGTTGCTGTTGCAGCTGTTTGCTCATTTCCATTAGCACGAAATATAACTTGCCGCTTGCAAGCGTGCACTGCGTTGAATGTTTATTGCTGTTGCAAGTTTCCCTTGTAGTTGCTTGTTTTATTGTACTAAATGCAACATTTGCTAAGCGCTTGCTTGGTTATTTGTTGAACTTATATCCATACTTTTTGCACCTGCTGTTC